CATTAAGGATACCAAATTTGAGTCGCTTGTGAAAAATGTAAATGTTGGGCAGTCTTATATTTGAAAATATTTTATTTGTTTTAGTTTATTTATAATTAGGGCAATGAGATTTAAAAAAGAATCAAAAATTAATAAAAATATGTAAACCAATAATTGAGTGCTCTTATTTGCTGAACGCACGCGCGCGTCAGGATTTTCGTATTTTCCCGCCTTTTTCGTAATTAGCATGTTTTAAAGAATGATACTCTTCCCTCGGTACTTGGCTTGTAATTTCAAACGGTTTCTCGTGTTTGTTAACCAAATAGAACACATTCAATAACAAATGTAAACATTTACTAATATTAATATTAAGGAKTAAAAGCAACTAAAACTGCCAATATACGAAAACATAATAAAGACAATCCTCCATTTTATGGTCTTTGCATGAAGTTAAAATCTCTCTCACCGTGTATTTGATATATGTCTCGAAAACAGGTGGTGCTTTCACGTGTGGGATGTATGATCTCTATAAGCGCTCCAATAGCAGCCGTAAGTATGATTGTCTGCAAAGCATGATAMAGTCTGGCATGGCTGTAAATGCAGTTTGTATCTGATAGAATRCCCGAGTCGGCACTTTGGTMACCTTGYGCTAAGCAACAYAAGATAAAGACTGCAAGCTGTGATTGTTTTCTTTGCGGGGGAATTTGTTTCTCGATGTTATCAAAGCGAATGCTGTTGTTTACTTGTTCTGTTCACAAAAACGGTCTTACTTTGTAAACGTTACACTTTTAAAAACAACAACAACAACAAAGAAGCATACAGCAAAGATAAGCACGACTACATTTCGGCCTTCTTTACCACTTCGCCATTGGTACATACCAATGTACTATGTACATACAGAGCGTGGACGTTTTTTTTTTTTTTTTTTTGAATTTAATAACAATGAGGCTGATGTTATTTATATCTACTTGTTTGAGCGGCGTTTGGGGATCTAACACGAAAATAGCCTATTTGYATAAGAGACCGGCCGCATTCGCGCCCCGTATAACATATCTTCCTTGTTTTATGATGTAAGTCAGTAGGTTTAGAAGTTTTTAAGTTGCTTTCAAAAGGTGTAGATAAGCTACTATTATTGCCAAAATCAGTTATATTATAACACGTACTGCATATATTGTTTTATTTTTTTTCAGAGTTTAAATTATACTGAAATCACTTTTAGCACGCAATTTGCTTTCTTCATTTAAAAAAAAATCGAAAGTCTTCGAACTTTAGACAGTACAGTCATTTTGCAATTTAAAATTTGATTGAATCTTCTACGTTATTAATTATTTTTATTTACATATCAAGAGTAAGTTTCGTATCGGAAGTAGGTCAAACTTTTATTATAATCATTAATTATTATTAGATTAATAATCTTAACTTCTTCAAATRCGTTTCACGAGCAAAGAGAAATTCTAAAATATGAATAAAATAAAATAAGATAAAAGTCGAGAAAATGATAATTACATAGCTCCAGCTAAATTAT